CGTTCTCATACACGTGGACCTTCCTGTCATATATGTCCATCCACTCCACTTTAGCGTCTTCAGGCAGGTGAAGTGTGGTGTTGAAGGGCAGCTGGACAGACTCCACCCCTGAATCCACCTCCACCTGGGGGACTGAGAGGACAACAAAGCACAACATGAGCTTGGATGGAGACATTTGTGTCGACTCTAACAGGCTGAATGCTGCTGCTTCACTGGGAGCTCACTGTTAGATAGAAAGTGGTCAGTGTGAAGAGGAGACGCAGCTCCTGCTCCTCAGGAATTCTGGGATTTGGATGAAACACAGCTAAACTGACCTAAAGCTATCAAGGAGGTCAAGGGGGAGGAGCCACAATACAAGCTGCATCCAGCCAGTGGGTGCACTGTTGACCTTTGACCTGAATCTACAGCACTGACCTTTGACTTTCAGCACCACTTCCTTCTTGATCAGGATCTTCTTCCTGTTGTTGTAGGCGGTGCAGGTGTAGGTGTAGTTGTCCCAGTCTGTGGGGTATTTCAGGGTCAGACTCAGATCTCCAGTTTTCAGCAGGTTTCTCCTCAGCTCTGTTCGGCCTCTGTAACTCTGGTCCTGGTCTTCAGGCCAGTCAGAGCCGTTCTGGTACACGTGGACCTTCTTGGAGCTTTTGACCATCCACTCCACCTTTGTGTCTCTGGGCAGGTGAATTGTAGTTTTGCAGGGCAGCTGGATAGACTTCACCTCTGTAACCACCTCCACCTGGGGGACTGAGATGAGGAGGAAAAGTTTGTGTAAGAGAAGCAGGACGAGGAGAAAGAACTGTGGTAGAGCTTTTACTTATTAATGAAATCACAATCTTAGAGAAAATAAATGGAAAAATAAAAAGCATGGGCACTGATTTATGCACAGCTCTCTGAAGCTCCACCACAGCATTTCATCAGACGAAGGTCTGGACTGTTGAAACACCTTCATTCTTTTGTTTTTCAACCAGTTTGGTGGACTCACAGAATGGTTAAAATTATAATTGTGAGAAACAGCCACTGAAAAGTGCTCAGGGACATGGCATTAGCCAAAGTTTGGTGAGATGGGAGTTTGCTCATTATTTGTAAAAATGCAGAACAAAAGAAAAAAGCTCTGAAACTACGAGTATTGTGCAAAAGAGAAGTACTGGAAAGGAAGACTGTTGGAGAGAAAAGTGGAGCAGGAGGAGGGATTTCTGGGATTCCTGTGGAGAAAATCTGAAGTGAAGAAAGTAATTAGAGGAGGAGACGTTACAGGCTCAAGTTGACTGCAGGCTTTCAGCAATGGAGAGAAGGTGCACAGGACATTAGTTTTACTGGAATTTAAAGATGAAGTGCTCCCTGATAAAGTTATGATAGGCTATATGGAGCCTCGCTACGTGCTTCCAACCGGCATTTAATGAGGGGGATGTGAGATGAAAACCAGCACAGAGAGACTTTAAAATGGTTGTCATGGTGATTCTACTGTAGATACACTAACGCTTACTCATAGATCATTGGGAGGAAGGATAGTTTGTTGTGGGGACTTTAACTCACATAGAAGTTTATGGGGAATCAGGATGACAGTAATGGGATTATTAGCAGGAATAACTGAGGATAGGGAGTTTAAATACTGGTACACAGGTGGATTTTATGAGGGGATAAGGTATCAGCAGCTGAGTTTACATTGGTTTCTCAGTCTCTGGCTGGAATTTGCTGGTATTTACATTTTAAAAACATTTTATATTCTTACATTTTTGAAAGAAACGGGTATTTCAACAAGAATCTAATGGTGGTACGGTAGAGTCTGATCCTTACTCCAGTCTACAAGGTGGCAGCAGTGCACCTAGAAGCTGTTTGCCAACCGGCATAAAAAGAAGCAGCAGCAGCCTCACAGTGCCTTTCCAAAAGGTTCAATACGTTGTGTCAGTAGAAATTACTTCTTCTATGGTCCATGGTCTGTGAGCCAGTGTTTACATTTTGGGTGGTGGGTTCATTTATATTCTAAGGTTTAGTGTCTATTTCCTAGTTCTAGTTCAGCTGTGACCACTACTCTGGGAGTGGTCACAGCTGCTGTGAGCGAGTGGCTGTGATTGGACTGGGATAATCGAGGCAGGTGTATTTGATTTCACTCCTACTGTGGTTCACTCACAGCCCACACTGCAAACACTGCTGTGATTCTGTCTCTGTGCAGGTGTGTCGTATGGTCAGACTGTAAAAGATGACTTCAAATGTTTGGACAGCTTGGACTGTGTGTTTTATTCATTTTTATGATCATTGTTGTAATTAATTATCTTTTAGAATTTTACTGGTTTTCATCTTTTGCCCACAGCTGATGATGATCAGACCAAGAATCTCTGTGTATTACAAACTGTATTACTTATCACTCAAGCCTTCCTGTCCTTTTCACACTACAAAACGTCCACAACCCCTTTCCCAGCTCCACGTAGCCATGGACCCAGGACACTGGCACAGTAGGTTACATACATCTTAACACTTAACCCCTCCCCTGTTGATTTTGTCACAGGTCTAGTCTGAAAACACAGAATATAAAATGGCACTAAAAAAATATTTGAGATGTTTCACATCCAAGAAGCTCTCAAAATTCAACTACACAATAATAAATGTAACAACAGGGTTGAAGTTTCTAGTTAATAGACTTGGACATTACACACAGAGTTTATTAATCACACACTGGGGACATTCACTTGTTACAGCAGCACAAGAGACCAGAAGAAAAGCTGAATTAGAGATGTATTAGAAAAATAAAGAGCAGCAAATCCAGAGAATCAGCCGTACACTGTTTGGTTTTTGGTTTTTTTAGCACGTGCTCATAGGGGTCATGTGATTGTTGGGGTTTTCTGCTGTCTGTATTATTTTAGGGTCTTTGCCTCACAATATGAAGCGACAACCGTTGTTGTGATTTGGTGCTATACAAATAAAACTGAGTTGCTTCCACTGACCTCTGAACTGGAGCTCCACCCTTTTCTTCAGCAGGATTTTTCTCTCCCTGCTGTAGACGGTGCAGGTGTATTTGCCTGCTTCTCCATCTGTGGGGTGTTTCAGGGTCAGACTGAGGTCTCCAGTTTTCAGCAGGTCTTCATTCATCTTCGTTCGGCCTCTGTAAACCTGGTGCTGTTCTTCAGGCTGGTCAGAGCCGTTCTTGTACACGTGGACCTTTTCAAAATTACTGTCCATCCACTCCACTTTAGCGTCTTCAGGGAGGTGACGTGTGGTTTTGCAGGCCAGCTGAACAGACCCCACCCCTGAATCCACCTCCACCTGGGGGACTGAGAGCACAACAAAGCACAACATGAGCTGTACAGACAGCAGCAGCACCAAGAACATTTTCTTTGACTAAAATATTCAACAGAATTAACATTTTAATGGAAAGAGGAAGTAAAATAGTTGTGCAGAGCAGCATAGATAAATGATAAACACAAACTAAAAATGTCAGACTGATACTGATGAATTAAAACTTTGATTTAATGTAAATGGTAAAAGTAAAAGCCTGTGTATTATTTCACTGTTTCACTTTTGTGATAGATTTTATTTATCAGGTACAAACCCCTCCTGTCTCTGTCGCATTGACATGTAATTATTATGTGATTGCAATGTTCAAAATTGAGTGTTTAATCTGGTTTCATGTTGTGTTGTTTCCACCTAATGCTGGACTTGAGAGTTGTGCCTTGTGGTGCATGCTTTTGGTGGATGTTCAATTAAGTGCATATCCTGCCAGAGCCTGAGGACTCGAGCCAGAAAGAGCAGGCTGGCCGTGTATATCATGCTCAAACATCAGTCGGAGCCTGGCTCTTTATTCTACTCCAAACATCAAAAGAATAACCTTCAGGAGCAGTTACACCTCCTCTGGAAAAGGTGAGAAATTTTGCATCATCCAATAAAACCAAAACTCTGTGTTCTGCTAATTCATGTGAACCTTTAACTGATAAATGCATAAAGAAAAGTTTTGAATTGTTTCAATAACTTTATTGTATTTAATAAATATGCACAAATGTAGAATATGATGGCTACAAAAATCTGTAAAAGCTACAAGGCAGTTCAGATGTGACTCAAAACTGTACAGAAAGGTCAAATAACAGCAGACTGGAAGACTCTACGTTAACCAGGCTCACCGGTGGCAGGTGAGCTATAAAAGAAGCATCCATCAAAGTAAGGAAAGGATGAGTTGTGTACCTGTACTCACAGAAGGATTGTTATTAACCCCTCTGTCAATCGCTACCTTAACGTGGTGGCGGGGTTTGTGAGTCCCAGGGATCCCAGGGGCTATGGTGTCGGGTCTCCTATGGTAAATTGGTCCTGGGTGAGGGACCAGACAAAGGGCGGCTTACCTGAGGGTGCTCCAACTGGGGACTATGTCGTCCTACTGGGAGACTTAAACGCTCATGTGGGGAACAACAGTGAGATCTGGAGAGGCGTGATTAGCGGTAACGGCCTGTCTGATCTGAACTTGAGCGGTGTTCTGTTACCGGACTTCTGTCCAAACCACAGTTCGTCCATAACAAACACCATATTAGAACATAAGGCCATCCATAAGTGCACGTGGCACCAGGAGATTCTAGGCAGCTTGATGATCGATTTTGTATTAGTATCATCAGATCTGCAGCCAAATGTTCTGGACACTCAGGTGAAGAGAGGGGCTGAGCTGTCAACTGATCAGGTGGTGGGGAAGGATGTTGGGCAGACCTGGCACTCCTAAACGTATAGTGAAGGTGCACTGGGAGCACCTGGCAGAGGTCCATGAAATACATCCGGCATTCCAAGAGAGACTGGGGATCATGAGTTTGGGGCCGAGGGGACGACTTGTCTATCACCAGGGATGAGGTCACTGAGGCAGTTAAACAACTCCTTGATCATCAGGTGGTGGTCTGCAGCTCGCATTGGAGCATTTCCCAACTGAGTGTGAAGCAGCAGGAATCAGAATCAGCACCTCCAAATATGAGGCCATGGTCCTCAGCCAGAAAAAGGTAGAGTGACCAATCCGGGACAATTACTTCGTAGTGAGGAATTTAGTCATCCGTGGGGGCTCGGAGTAGCTCCTGCTCCTCCACATCGAAAGGAGCCAGTTGAGGAGGTTCTGGAACGTGACAGGTTTGCCCCCTGAGCACCTCCTGGGTGAGGTGTTCTGGGCATGTGCCAGTGGGAGGAGGCCCTGAGGTAGACCCAGGGCATGCTGGAGAGATAATATCTCTCAGCTGGGCTGTGAGCGCCTTGGTGTTCCCCCAGACAAGCTGGAGGAGGTGGCCGAGAGAGGTCTGGGCTTTTCTATTAGGCTGCTGCCCCCACGACGCGGCCCCAGATCAGCATTAGAAAATGGATGGTTGGATTGTTATTAAGTCCTTTTGATAGGCTCCAGCCCCACCCACAACCCTAAAATCAGATAAGTGTAAGAGGACGGATGGACGGATTGTTACTGAGTCCAAAAGTAACATTTCTCAATGCAAGACTGCAGAGAACTTGGGACGTTCTGCATGTACAGAATATCATATTGTGAAAAGATCCAGAAAATTCAGAGACGTCTCAGTGCACAAAGGATAAAGTCAGAAACCACTGTGTGATCTTAAAACCCTCGGGCAGCACTGCCTAAGAAACCATAGTGTCACGAACAGCAGGCTCAGGATTACTTCTCATTACCATTGTCACTTAAGACAGTCTGTTGCTCCCTCAAGAAATGCAGCTTGAAACTGTGTTGCGCTGTGAGGAAGCCAAACATCGACTCAACTCAGATGGACTGCAGGACTGTGGAACTGTGTGCTGTGATCAGGTGAGTCCACATTTCAGCTTGTTTTTTGGAGAAAAAAAACAGTTCTCTGTACCAAAGATGAAAATCTTCCAGACTGTTATCTGTGAAAAGTGCAAAACCTGTTATAGTCTGGGGATGCGTCAGTGTCCATGACATGGCTAAGCTGCACTCATGAAAGAACCGCTGACTCTGACCCTGAGGATTGTAGACAGACACATCATCCTTAAACGGACAGATTATTATTCAGGAGGATGATGAAAGATCACGTTCCGCATGGGCTACAACATTATGACTCCACAGACATCCTGCTGCCAGTCCAGATCCATCTCCTATTGAAAATGTATGGCTCACAATGAAGAGGAGTTTTATATCAGTATGTCTGTGGAGGTTCTCATCCAGGTCATGGAAATCAAAGGAGCTTGGAAAGAAAGCAACTGGACTTCTTTCACCTCTCATCCGAGAAGCTTCTTCAGTTCTACAAAGGTGGAGAGTCCCAGATATTTAAACCCTAGTGGGAGGTGTCCATTAAGAGGGTGACTCTTCACATGAGCCAAGGCATGAAAAAGGGTGGGGGTCATTATCAGCACAGGTTTTGGGTCAAACCATTGTTAGACCTTGCCTCATCCTATCATGTGACCTATTGAGGTCAAGAAGGCATGACAGGGTGAGGCAAGATCTGACAATGGTTTCTCACAATGACCAATAATGGATCAGTGACACTCATAAGGGACACTCCCACTAGGGCTTCAAATCCAGGACTGCACCATTTGGTCTCAGAACTGAAGAAGCTTCTCAGATGAGAAGTAAGTCCAGCCCCTTTTCTTTCCAAGCTCCTTGGATTTATATCAGAGTGCAGAACATTTCCATCTGGAAAGACTACAACCTCCTCAGATCAGAAGGTGAGGAGAAGTGAGGCTGAGCCAACCGTCGATGGTTTTTACAAGGGCGAATTATCTATTTATTTGCCCATGAGTAAGTTTGCTAATAATGTTGGTTGAAGCTAACAGAAGCAGTCAACAGAAAAATAATAGTGTTGTTTTAACTTCACCCTCTTCAGAGTGCGCAAAATGTAGCAGCGATTCATTTATTAAACTCATAACAGAAGAAAGAACAGCAGTAGTCTGTGTTCAGAAAAAACAAAATCATTTTATTTAAATAAAAAAATCCACAATGGTGGAAACAAAGAGAAGCTGGCTTCTTCTTCCACTATAAGCGTGTTTACAGGCCGTTCAGTGTTTATGTCTCACACACTCGACCAAACAACAAACAAGTTAGAAAACCAAAATGTTTTTTCCAGCAACCATAAAAAAATCTCAGACGTAAAGTTAAGTGTTCTGTGCGATTTGGCACATCTCAAATAAATAAATATATAAAGGAATAATCCAAAATTCCCTCCAAACAAAACTCATATTTCTGTGCCATGTGTGACATCAATGGGAAATGTTTTTCATGCAGTTTCCACAGAGCCAGTGGATCTTCTTCTCCGTCTACGACCTCCTCGCTGAGGTAACAGTCTGCGCCTTCTCCTCCAGTGTGCAATTTGTTCGTCCATGTTTGGACTTCTGTATTTTAAATGTGCAAATCAGTACGTGCATGATTACACTGCTCCACCCATCAAAGAGTCTGCACATGCGCGAATATATCGCCTATCATCGGTTGTTGGACTGACGATTGTCGGAAAAGTTTACATATCGCCCAAACTTATGTTGCAGCCATCAAATCCTAAATGTAAATATATTTACTAATGTGGACCCTGATGTTTATCTGCTTAACTAAAGATTAGCTATTATTGTTGGGTCTTTGCCTCACAATATAAAGTGTCTTGAGGTAACTGTAAAAAGTGTAAAGTGTGCGTGTTAGTCCCTATAGGGAAATAATTCCTCTGCATTTAACCCATTCACCCAGTGAAGCAGTGGGCAGCCACCAATGCAGCGCCTGGGGAGCAGTGTGTAGGGACGGTACCTTGCTCAGGGGTACCTCAGGGTAGCCGTTCAGTGGAGTCGAACCCCCGACCTTCCGATCATGGGGCCACCACTCTACCTACTGAGCTATCCCTGCCCAACTGTTGTTGTGATTTGGCGCCGTATAAATAAAACTGAATTGAATGCTTGAGGAAAGTTGTTGTGAGCATACACACCAGCTAGAAAGTCCCTTTGTATAAAGGTGAACAGTCTTAATCATTTTTAGATATTTTTTTTAAATAATAAACTTATGTTTTGTTTTGTTTTTACCTCTGTAGAAGAGTTTCCATAAATATACTCCAAGACCCACAATGGCAGCGATGGCCAGGACAGCCAGGATCACCGAGGCCTCAGCTGGGAAAGTGTATGGCTCTGTGAGAACAAGAACAGAACAAGGTTTACATGGACACCATTATTCTGATCCAAAATAAAGAGTCAGTCTCTAACAGGTCTGCTGAGTGTTTCACAGGTCAAAGAATGAAGTCAGCAGGATGGATTTCTTCTACATCAGTTAGAAAACACCTCCACCCAAACTGAAAGAGCAGTGAAGACACCATCAGTCTGAATAACTCACGTTCCAGGAAACTATCAAAGTCATATCAAGGCTCAGGGCTAAAGCAGAAAGTGGTCAAATCCTTATTAGTCACACTATAACATGTGTTATGTGTTTGTACAATAAATTTTAATTTGAGATCCTGAAATGCTGCAAACATAAAACTACAGACTGTAAAAAACAATCGCGTTTTAATAAAGTTTAAACTCTACTTTTACTTTCATTACATGTTATCCTGTTTTAACAAACAGTTCCTGCTCTCCTGCTCCAATCACTGACTGACTCTCTGGAAAAGACAAACAATCCTCTGCTCCATGAATGAGTCTGACCTTCAAATCATCTCCATCAGGCTATTTCTGAGCACCATGAGTTCCCTGTCAAATAAAGACATCAGCTGTTCAGACAAACTGACCTTTGACCTGCAGCTGAACATCTGTCAGTCTGGGTTCTTCTCCCCTCACTCTGATGGTGCAGGTGTAGTTGCCGCTGTCAAAGATGTGGGGTTTCCTCAGAGTGAGGCTGAAGTCTCCAGTCTGCAGAGCGTCAGTCTTCATGGATGTTCGGTCTCTGTAACGCTGGTTTTGATCTGTCAGCTCGTCCTCTTCCTGCTGACGCTGGTGGACGGTTGGAGGATTGAGGTCGTAGCGGCTCCACACCCCTGTGGTGGGTCCAGATACAAACGGGATGTGACAGGGCAGCAGGGCTGACTCCGCCCCCTCGTACACCTCCATGGTGAAGACTTGGTGGGACACTGTGAGGACACAGAGACACATGAATCAGCTGTGTGCAGAGACGGCAAAAGGACAGACAGTCTGTACTTAAGTCAAAGTACAGATACGTGTGTTAAGAATACTCCAGTAAAAGTTGAAGTACTGATTTAACTTCTACAGTACAGGCTCTGAAATGTACTCAAAGTACTCTTTGATTGGTACATGAGACACTTTTTCTGCATACAGTAAACTGTATTGATGATGTCTTTATACTAGATGGTTGGCAGTTGGTATAAAGGTTGAATCCAGTGAATGAATCCAAGTGTCATCTTTGCTACACTTGATGTGAGTGAACTCTGACCCTGAACAGCACAGCTGCTGTGCAGCAGTGCTGACCCTGAACAGCACAGCTGCTGTGCAGCAGTCACACACTGTTCTTTACTGTAAACTAATCACAGAAAGGTGAGTTAACCTGTTTATCCTGCAGTCATTTCTTGATGAGGTACCTCAGCTTATTTACTGGATACTTCACAATATGAAAAAACAATTTTCCTTCATATACAGATTTAATATCTGATTTCACAACTGAAAACTAAAATTTACATTTAAAGAGCAGAATAGAGGAGAAAAGAAGAAAATAGAACACAACAGAATACAACAGAAAAGATTAAACTAAAACAATCGAACAAAATGGCAAGAAAAGAATAGAAGAAAATAGAACACAACATAATACAACAGAACACAATTCAACACTAAAGATCATAACAGAAAAAACCCCAAATAGAACAGAATATAACAGAATAAGATAGAAAAGAATAGAATAGAATGTAAGAGAAGAGAATAAAGTAGAGTAGAGTAGAATAGAATAGAGAGCCATTATGATCAGTTTTGATGACCACAGCGTCAGAACCTGATGTTAACAGTTTGGATGTTGGGTTAGAGTCTCTAACGTCTGATAATCGTCTGTTTCCTGTTGCTGTCTTTGGAGTCTCTGTAAGTCAGACCTTTCTGTGCTGCTCACACCTGAAGCTGTTTGGACCTCCTGCTTTAGTTCTTATGAATGTGTGAGGACATTTATGAACAGTGAGGCTGAACTCAGTCTGTAGATAAGCAGCAGAGTGGAGGTTTGTCCTCGATGAAGACTGAAGCTGTTCACACAGGCTGATGATAGCTGAGCCTGAACATCTGTGTAAACAGCTACAACAAAGGTTAAACAGTCAACAGTCTTTCTTGGTGTGTTGCTGACCTTTGACCTGCAGCTCTACTGCTGTCAGTGTCCGTTCATTTCCAAATGCAGTGATGGTGCAGGTGTAGGTGCCGCTGTCAGAGGTGATGGGGTTCCTCAGAGTGAGGCTGAAGTCTCCGGTCCTCAGAGAGTCCGTCTTCATGGACGTTCGTCTCCTGTAACGCTGGTTTTGGTGTCTCAGTTCATCTCCTGCCAGGTTACGCTCGTGGACGACTGGAGGACTGAAGTCGTGGCGGCTCCACACCAGAGTGGGGTCAAGAGGCACAGAAGTGTCCTTGCAGAGCAGCAGGACAGACTCCACCCCCTCATACACCTCCAGAGCTGAGGCATGCTGGGAAACTTAGGACACAGAGACAGAAACATGAATCAGCTGTGTGTGAGTCTAAAGCTGAACTCTGCATCAGTTCACTCTGAGTTTAGTCCACATTTTTTGCATGCAAATAAACAGATCTGGCCAATCAGATCACTGCATTTGGCAGCAAACTCATAGCTCAAAATGTGCACTGAACATCCATCCATCTATTCTCTTCCACTTATCCAGTTCAGAGTCACGGGGAGCTGGAGTCTATCTCATCTATCACAGGGTAGACCATGGACAGGTCAGCAGTCTCAGTAAAAAACAGAAAGAGAGACAACCATTCACACCTATGGAGATTTAGAATGATGCAATAACCCAGCCACACTGACTGCATGTCTCTGGACTGTGGGAGGAGACCAGAGTACTCGGAGAGAACCCACACAAACATGTGGAGAACATGCAAACTCCAAACTCCATGAGGATACATTTTCATAAAATCACAGAGCTTTCAGTTTGTTTATATGTTACAAGAAAAATGTGAAAATCTGAAAAGAAAAAGTTGTTTTAGTTTTAGTTCTCCTTAAAAATCCAGATGTTGTTGTGAACGCTACACCTCTTCTTCTCTTTCATTCAGTCAGAGGATGATCTTTGTATTAAGGTGGAGTATAAATGATTATGTTCACTGATGGTTAGTGACAAATGCAGTCGCATGGCAGGATGCTGTAAACGGACCAAACTTCAGCCAGGAGAACCACTGAGATAATCCATCCACAATACGAGGTTAGTCATTCATATACTGCTGCATGGGCTGGGCTGTAGTTACATCCTAAGGTTTTTAAAACTGAGCTTTAAAATGAACAGTGGTGATAACAACCGAGAGAGGCCGACAGTGATCACTGACCTTTTTTAGGGGCTTGTTCAGATTAAATGGAAGAAGATTCAAAGCATTAAAAGATGTTAAAAACACAACAGCCTTAATAAACTCAGAGTCGTTTGGACCCAGAAGCAGGTTTCACCAGGTCATCACTTAAAGATTGGATATCCCACCTGCTGCTGTGTTTTAATGCAGTACAGTTGTTACTAATGTCACTCGTCACATCCTGTTTATGACAGTTAAAATAAATAACATTCATATCAGAAATAAAATTGTCTCGTGTAAACTGTTTGTGGCGTTAAATAGGCCTTTACTACTGTACTTTAATGTGGGTCAAGAGCCATATATTTTATGAGGTGGTACTCATTGTGAAAAGTCTGAGAACCGCTGCTATAAACTGTTTGTGTTCAATAAAGGTTAAAAACATCGAGGCTCTGACAGTAAAAGTCCTGAAAGTGTTCTTAAAGCTGTGAAATGGAGCCGCAAACACTTGGAACTGATCCGGTTGTTTCCACCTCGTTTGTTCCTGATCTGTTTGTGATTCATGTGGCTTGTTGTGACCTGATAAACTCTGTGTTCTTTATTTAAAATGTCTGAAATATCTCACATCTGTAGACAGATCCATCAGAGCTCACAGGTTTATTATAACGTGTTTCTTTTAACAATAAGACTTGACATTAATCACAGAGTTGGGACAGTTACTGTGACTGAACCATGAACAGTATGAACAGTGACTCATTAAACATGTCTGCTGCAGCTGTCACAGAGTCGTCTATCAGTGATACTCAGATTACATCAGATTACAAACGTGTCTAATCTCTGTCTCAGATTTTCTCTAAATGAGATTCATTTTATCCAGTAATGGCAGAAATAATGACATCATCTCACAGCTCAGCAGGACATCAAATATTAACTGAACAATTATTAAAAAAACTGCAGCAAAAAGATGTTTTTTAAATAAAACTTTGAATCTTTCAAGACGTTCAGTTTTAGATCTTTATTTAAACTCTACTGAACAAACTAGTTGAACCAGTCAGGCAGGAATTCATGTTTGTTTCATGTAATGAAGAAACACAGACACTGTTGGATTTTTAGGATTTAGTCTGTCAGCAGTTCTCCAAACATGTTTAGCTGCTCATCTGAGCATCGCTCTTATTTTACAGCGTTCACACCGTCGTGCACAACTACAGCTTCTAAGAGTTTTATCTCAAAACATGATTTCTGTATTTAACACATCACTGAGACCCTTTGTGACACACAATACACACTGATATATTTATGCATTTATAAGGTTATTATAACCAAGCTGTAATCAACACTGTGTTCATGTTCTGTCTTCAGGTGGGCCTGTGATCAGTTTTATAACTGCAGCATTTAGAGATGAAAACATGCAGAAATCAGAAGAACGTCCACCGTCACACAGCACGAGTTCAAACATTCACACAGAAAGAATCAACTTGTTTTCTGCAAACACCACCGAGTTCTTATTAAACATGGATGAAACCCTGTAGCCCTTTAAAATAGCCACACCCACAGCAGATAATAATAATATAATAATGTTATAATATTTTTAAGGACAAACAAAGAGACTAAAATGTCACATTAGTGCTTTTATTATTATTTTATTAGATTCTTATTAACTGGTTTTATCCCAAAGTCAACACAAAACAAGCGTAAACATGAATCAAATCCTTATAAACGTGTAAACTGTGTCATTATGTTACTGAAGAAAGGTTCTTTACCTCCATCACAGTGACAGGAGAACATCCATCCAGCCCACAGACACCGTCTAAATCTGTGTTCATGCAAACAAACTGCTTCACCTTCTGTCTGAAGCCCCTGATAGAAGCTCTGGGGCCATTAAACCTGTTTCCATGGAGCAGCAGGATCGTGTTCCTGGACAGCAGCACAGCTGCTTGGACGTCCTCCACCTGCTGCAGGCTGACGTGGTTGGATTTGCCTGCTTACATATAAGAAGATTACATCAGACAGTCTTGCAGAAATGGACATGGACACATATCAGGAGCAACTTAAAGTTTTATTGGAGGATGTTGCAGCTGGATGGTGTAGTGGTTCGGGAGTCACAAGTTTGATTCCCACCTGGTATCCAGTAAGGGTCCTGGCTAGACCCCCCATGCTAAAAACCAAGCCCTGGAATGTCCGCAGCTTGGACACAAGAATTTCACTACATGTTGTACTCTGTATAATTGTGTATGTGACAAATAAAGGTTGTTTGTTTGTTTGTTTAGTTTGGTGTAAATGTTGAACTTTGTTCTTTCTAAAACCTCCAGTTTGCAGCTGCAGCTGTTAGTGGTCTCAGTCAGAGGAATCAGCACGGCGTCTTTATTTAAAAGAAGTTAAACACGAGGTTCTCAGAGGTTCTGCATCACTTTCAGTCATTCTCAGATTTCCTCATAAACATCAGTGATGAGTCAGAACATGTCTGTGCTGACTCAGCAACACTCGTGTGTGTTTGTCACACGTGTAAGATTCATATGAAACAGGCTGACTGAATGTTGTCTGACTTCTGTGTTTATTGTGTTTGTGTGTCTGAGTTTCTCCTGCATACAAAAACATCTGGCAGCACTCAGGAGGTTTTGCTCTCCAATCAAAGGAAAACTGGAATACATTTTTTTAACTAAACGTTGTTAAGTAGTGTTTAATTTCCTCCAGCATAAATCACTCTTTAGCCATTAGCTCAACAATCAGCGCACAAAGATCTGTTTCAGCAGGAAAACCCTGAATGTGGCTGATTTACAATGAGGAGGACAGGACACTTATTTCCTGGGACTAGTGAGCCAACAACAGGGCAGGGCGATATAGCCAAAAATATTTATCACGATATATATTTGAAAATTTGCGATAACGATATAACTGACGATATAATTGATGCGAGACAAAACTCCACAACTTTATTAGTGCAAAAAAACCATCAATATATTTTCACTTAAACAAGCAGCTGTTTTTCTGTGCATTAAAGTTATATAAAAATGTAACAGTGCAAATGCAAATGCTGACAGTTTAACCAAAAGGCATTTCCAGTGGAAACGGGCCGACATGTCCTGAGCATAACCATGTATAATATCCACAAAACTAAAATGGAGGTTTTACACACACAATGCGGTAAAGTTATGTTAAAGCACAGTACCTATTACTCCGCGAGGCTCCTGACTACGGTAGCCGTAATGCTCCGACAATCCATCAAGCGTAGCTTACCTGAGTCGTCCTAAAACATTTCTAACAGATTTTTGAGCGCTGGCTTTTTCCACCATGTGCGTATGAAAACAAAGGCTCTGCGTGTGCGCGTTTTACACATATTCTATCGCGATATCTCATTTTCTTATCATTGCCTAACATTATACCGGTACTACCGTGAACGGTATGACGGTATGATATGGCCCAGCCCTAGCCAACAAGCAAAGTAAATTCATAAAAATAACAACATGACTCATAACTTACCTGATAGACCTCGTTGTGCCTCCATGATCATCCACCTGCCTCACCTGTTGTATTCTGCAACACAACATGTGTAATTTCACTGATAAAGATCATTATATTGACATTTATCCTTCAGATCAACATCCAGACTCTCCTCGGTTATTTAACTGTTTTCAATTTATTTAACAGGACTTCAGCAAACTGGGCCCTGTTTCAGGAAGCCGGTTTAGTGCAAACTCTGAGTAAGTATACCCTGAGTTAACGAAAACTCTGGGTTTTCGGTTTCACAAAGCGAGTTCAGATGAAGCCTCAGTGAGTCACCATGACGACACACTCCGTGAAGCTAACCTGCCCCCTAGCAGGTTTACTACAACTAACCCTGACTGTCTCCGCCCCTTTGTTGGAAACCTGACAGTAGGAAGTGTCAGACATGGCGTGCCCCTTCCTTGAAGAGCCAGTAGATGTTGAAGCCCAAATTCTCCGCAGAGCTCTCCGCCGGGAGAGAGTGATCAGAGCACGTTTGGACATTTTATCATTTCCTGATGATTTTCTGTGCG